ACTGGAGTGGGTAGCCATTCCCTTCTCCAGGGGATCTTCCTGACACAGGGATCGAACCCATGTCTCCTGCATTGCAGGCAGATTCTTTACTGTCTGAATCACAAGGGAAGCTGTAAGCAGCCTTCTCACTTCTTTCTGGAAGCGCTCATAAAGCCAGCGGCAGCACCGGGGCCCCTGTCTATGAAGTGCCCTCACCCACACCATTCATCTAGTGCGTGGAAAACAGTTCCTCCACTTCTTACATGTTCTTAGGGAAAAAAGAACCTCACAGCTTGGGCCATGGTAACACCTCCAGGACTTATCAAATGACAAGCTGACAGGCTATCAGATGATGAATTCATCTGGTGTGCAGTTGCCTCGTTGTCTGGTTTGGATTCCAACTTCCTAAGAAAATTATCTCGACTTGTGCGGTGCCAGGGAACCTGTTTGTTCAGACACGTCAGGCTCTCCATCTCTGCCAGTTTTCACAAAACAGGCTGGCTCTGCCGGGTTGGGGGTGGTGGTGGGGGACCGGCGTTTCACAGAGGTAGGAGTCACAGAAAGCTGCCTGCCAGCCCGTCCGTGGGAGAGCATTCAGTTCCATCTCGGTCTCACAGGAGAACAAAGCATCAGGGCGCTGTGATCCTCCCATGCCAGCAGAAACGTGAGGGTGGCTCAGACCTACTGCTGCTGAGCTGAGGCCACGGGTGTGCTGGTGGGGGCGCTGGGAGGAGAGGAGGACACTGCTCTCTGAATCCAGTGCTCACATTACTTTTGGTGCCAAGAGCTCTTTTAACAAAGATACATGTGGCTCAGCCTAGGTTTTTAGATCCTCCAAGCCTAGGTTCCTGAGGAGCCCCGGAGATGCGGTCAGTTACACGCGTGATGTTTAACTATACTTTTCTTAGGTTTTCTCATGGATTAGCATCAAATACCATCACCCTGAGAAACAATGTAAAGAATGTTATTATCACAATGAAAAGCAAAACTCTAGGCTTTCCACATTTAAAAATTAAAAAAAAGACTGGAGGAAAAATCGGTTTGAGCACTGAGATAATTAGGTTTCATTTTAGTGCCTCTGCAGTCTTACATTCTGTAGCTGCTGCAGTGGTGGCAGCAGTTTTATCTTCCTGCTGACTTGAAGGTCACCACCAGAGTGATGCCTCCCTGACAGCACGTGTCCATGGCGTTGCCGAGCAGTCTGGGTGATGTCCTGTCATCCAGTTGCCTTTATAATGACCTGACCTGGAACCGAGGCTCCAGAGATCACCTGAGAGGAGAAAATGGGCCAATCACCAGGCAGTCTTCAGTGAGTCAGTGCAGTGAGATGCAAAGATGAGAATTCTCATGTGTTCCTGAACAGGCCCTGAGAGTACATTTCTTCAGCATCTCAGGCTAATGTTGTCACTCCTGTGATACAGTCAGAAAATAGATGTGTTACTTATCCACATACACTATTGTGAGAGTCTGTGACTCAGCCTCCGTCTCAGGTTTAAAGAATATATTTACGCACTACAGATAAAAACAGCCCTGATGGCGGTATCCATATGGGGAATTCGATGCCACTGCCACCCCAGGGATAACTTAAAAGGCTAGTAAAAACGAAGATGCCTTGGCTTATTACCAGAGTTCTTTCATGGAAACAAAATGCGTTTGAAAAAATGATGATCTGTCAGTGAAGAGGTCTACAAAAAAGAGGGCAAGAGAAAAATGACCAAACTCCTCTACTCGAGTGTGGGACCAGTAATGATGCGGAGACTATCAGGTTGCCATGGAGATGTTCTCTGGCTCGTTGTCTTCGAGGCTGCACCCCATCAGAAACCAACACACTCTCTCTCTTCTAAACTCGAAATGTGAATGCGTGGGGGACTCATTTCTCTTCTACCATGTACCTAAAACAAGGTGGAAAAGATCAAAGAGGTCTACGGCAGGGCCCACGCTGAAAATATTCTAGCTGCCAGCTTGCACACATGCGATGACTGCAGCCCGGGACAGCTCAGAAAAGGTAATTAAGTGCCTGGAAGTGAAGTGTGAACAAGAAGCGGTATCTGAGATCAGGAAAGACATAGCTGAGCTTGAGCCAAAATTACCAAGAAGGCCTTTTGTTGTTGTTCAGTCACTAAGTCATGTCCAACTCTTTGTGACTGCATGGACTGCAGCACGCCAGGCTTCCCTGCCCTTCAACATCTCCCAGAGTGTGCTCACACTCATGTCCGTTGAGTCGGTCATGCCATCCAACCATCTCATCCTCTATTGCTGCCTTCTTCTCCTGCCTTCAATCTTTCCCAGCAAAAAGGCCTCAGGGGCTGAGAATTAGAGACATAAGCAACATCTGGCTCACTGTAAGCATTTAATGAAGGAGCAGAGAGGAGGGTGTCCTAGGGATGAGGGAAGGGATGAGCAGGGCTGAAATGTTGACCAGCCAGAGAGGACACCACTCACTATGGTTGAGGGACTTGGTGAGTAAGTAATGCAGTGAAGAGTGTTAGGCAAGATTAGGGACCATAACTGAGATTCAGTTTCAGAGGCCCTGGAGTTTGATTTTAGATCTGTGAGTAGGGTGGTGATATATAACGAAAGCCATATTTTACAAACATTGCTCAATAGTTAAAGCTCAGGAGAGATGGGACAGGAGTGAAACTCGAGGCCGGGAGAGGTATTGAAAGCCTGGACCTGGTGGATGTGGTCCTTGAGGAAAGAAGGGGATATTGACAAGGAAGCCTTCATAGCATGTGATAACAGCAGGGAGGAAAGGGATGGAGGTACGGGAGCTCCTTTCCTGAACAGGTAGGCTCCAGGACCCTATGTGAACTCAGGAGTCAGACCTGGCTTCCAGCTAGCGGTAGATCTGGTCTTCTGTTCTGGGGCATTCAGCAAAAAGACAAAAAATATTGCAGAGGATTTTTAAGATATGAGCCTATTCTGTATGGTGCTATTATGGTGGATATATGTCATCATACAGTTTTCAAAACCCATAGAATGTGCCACACCAAGAGTGATTCCAAATGTAAACTACAGACTTTAGGTGGTAATGACATGTTAGTTTAGATTTGTTTGTTTTTTTTTTTTTCTTAATCTGACTGTGCCGGCACGTGGGATCTTGCCGTGCAGCATGAAAACTCTTAGTTGGGGCATGTGGAATCTAGTTCACCAACCAGGGATCAAACCTGGGCCCCCTGCATTAGGAGCTTTGAGTCTTAGCCACTGGACCATGAAGGAAGTCACTCAGTTTAGGTTTATCATTTGTAACAAATGGGCTGCTCAATTGAGGGGTGTTAGTAGTAAGGGAGGCTGTGCACGTGTAGAACCAAGTGGTTTGTGGGGACTCTGTATTTTCTACTTCGTTTTGCTCTGAGCCTAAAACTGCTCAGAAAACTTGACAGTCTATTAAAAAAACAAGAACAAAAATAGTGTAAATTGCCAGAGTTGGCATCAAAGACCCAACAGATAGGCAGTATGTGTTCAAAGGTCAACCTGTGGACAAAGAAGAATAAACCACCATGAAAAGCAACCAAAACATCATTAAATGGAGTAAACATAGAGGAAATAAATTGGAGAAAGAAGAGATGGTTGAAGCTGAGCCTTCCTTTGAAGGAACCCACAGGCTTCACCGACCCGTGCGGATTCGTCAGGATGAAAGGAAGGGCCCAGGCCCATGTGGCAGGGAAGACATGAAGGGATCATGACCCAGAGATGGGAGTTTCATCATAAACATAGGGGGGCGCTGCAGCCACATTCCTATCTCCTTGTTGGGAAAGTTAAATATTCCCAGTGTGTTACCACAAGTGCTGATGACATTTTATGGGGAAGAAGAGACAGAAAACCAAGGTCTTTCTCTTCGGTGATTTGTGACCCAAGATTAAGTATTTGCTTTGATCCTGGTTTGTCCGTTTGTTTGATTGATTAAACCATTCAAATGAGGATCACAGTTTTGGATGGTAATATCATTGACACGATCTGTGTGATTTTTTAAAGCATTTTGACCCCTTAGAAAAAAAAAGGATGCTCCGGCTACCTAATATTGTAGTATGGAAAAAGACTCATTAGAATCTGAAAGAAGGCAGTTCAAAATAAGTGTGTTGAATAGACTACACAATGTATGATTAATATCACTACTAACATCTTATCTCCCATCAGGGCGCGCTGCCTTATGTTGAGTATTCATGAATAGGTCAAGTTTGTTGCTTACATAAAGACCCATAATACACAAAAGCTTTATATTGATGGTACCTAAACTATGTAGATTTTTAAAAATCCACCTGACGAAGTACTTAAAGGTGCTGTCTGATGAGTGGTTTAGTGTAACTTGGGGTCATTTCACACTCTCAGATTCGTCTCTGGATGAATTACCTTCATCTCGCAGCAGAGTCGGATTATTGCTTTAACAATGCCCATGCCTGGGGTTAAATGTTTACCAGCCAGCTAATCAGAACTCAAGAGAGTACAAGGTAGACATCATTTTACAATTAGCTTCATTACAGCTGGAATGCGATCGTTCCAGCATCACCTCTTTTCATTTCTCACTGCAAAGCTTTAAAATAATTATAGAGACACATACAACTTTAGGTACCAGTTATGCAAACAGACAGCACTGATTTTCATAAGGCTAGACAAAGACACACACCTATGCACATCTATAGTTATTATATCTTTGCCATCTTTATACCAAAAACAGATTGTTTTACCTAAGTGTCATGTGAAATAAGATTTTGCATTTTCTTAACCATGAAATAAAAAAATCTGATTTACAAATTAGGCACTGGGGATCCATGTTAAAAAATCACTGTAAACGTATATACTTATCTACATATATTCAGCATGTTTTGAATTGCTAATTTAAGAGCAATATAATGGTGGTCTTTTACATATAGGCAGTAGTTTGGAAATGCAAAAAAAAAATACTGATTCCATCTTAAGCAGAGTCTTGAAATTGTGGTTGAAGTTTGAGCAAAGGAAAGAATATTCGCTGAAGATCTTACACTTGCACAGTAATGATGTTTCATGTCGCTCTCTCCTCGTAGGCCACGCAGTGCAGATTATTTTATGCAAGAAGCTAAGCGAATGAAGCATAAAGCAGATGCGATGGTAAGACCTTTTCTCTCCAGATCTGTTCCTCCAAATTACGTTTGTACTGCAGCTTCATTGCTGGGGCAGCATAGCCAGGATAATTATAAAATCTATTACAAGGATGGCTGGGTCTGTTAAATGCAGAAATGTTTATATAATCCAGGGCTCATGGCCCAATAAATTATGACCTCAACTAATCATGTCTGACTTGGAGGAAGCCCTGGATAAACAAATATTTCAATTTAGTCCTAAAGTTTGAATGGGAACCAGAGGCAATGGAGTCAGTGGGTGGTAGTTTTTTGGGTGTTTTTCCCTTAAAAACAAAAAAAGGTTTACATTTTTCTCCCTTCTTAGCCTAGCCAATCCTTGGCTTGGTCCCAGGATCAAATCCCTTTTCAAAAAGACTTTTGTTCTTCATGTGTACCTGCCAAAACAAATACTTCCTCTGAAACTGGACAACCGAGAAACTATTACACACACACAAGACCATAAAGTTACTATGATTTGATGGTTTCAAAGAATAAGTTTTCTTACTTGGGAAAGCTTAACGCCTTCAGGCAAGAAGGCCTGATTTTTTTTCTGTAAGAGATCATATGGTTGTTCCATCTGAAAATCTCATCCTAAAGGACCCCTTATTCCTTGGTCATTTCAGTTCTGCTCCCCTCCAGTGTTCATAACTGAAATCAGGGCACTAGAGATGAGTTAGGCATCTCAAATGACCTTTAATTCAGTTCAGTCCTCAGTCATGTCAGACTCTTTGCGACCCCATGAACCACAGCGTGCCAGGCCTCCCTGTCCATCACCAACTCCTGGAGTTTACCCAAACTCATGTCCATTGAATTAGTGATGCCATCCAGCCATCTCATCCTCTGTTGTCCCTTTCTCTTCCTGCCTTCAGTCTTTCCCAGCATCAGGGTCTTTTCCAATGAGCCAACTCTTCATATCAGGTGGCCAAAGTATTGGAGTTTCAGCTTCAACATCAGTCCTTCCAGTGAACACCCAGGACTGATCTCGTTTTGTTTTTTTTTTTTCATTTATTTTTATTAGTTGGAGGCTAATTACTTTACAGTATTGTAGTGGTTTTTGTCATACATTGACATGAATCAGCCATGGATTTACATGCATTCCCCATCCTGATCCCCCCTCCCTCTTCCCTCTCCACCTGATCCCTCTGGGTCTTCCCAGTGCACCAGGCCCGAGCACTTGTCTCATGCATCCAACCTGGGCCGGCGATCTGTTTCACCATAGATAATATACATGTTTCTATGCTGTTCTCTTGAAACATCCCACCCTCGCCTTCTCCCACAGACTCCAAAAGTCTGTTCTGTATATCTGTGTCTCTTTTTCTGTTTTGCATATAGGGTTATCATTACCATCTTTCTAAATTCCATATATATGTGTTAGTATGCTGTAATGTTCTTTATCTTTCTGGCTTACTTCACTCTGTATAATGGGCTCCAGTTTCATCCATCTCATTAGAACTGATGCAAATGAATTCTTTTTAATGGCTGAGTAATATTCCATGGTGTATATGTACCACAGCTTCCTTATCCATTCGTCTGCTGATGGGCATCTAGGTTGCTTCCATGTCCTGGCTATTATAAACAGTGCTGCGATGAATATTGGGGTGCACCGTGTCTCTTTCAGATCTGGTTTCCTCAGTGTGTATGCCCAGAAGTGGTATTGCTGGGTCATATGGCAGTTCTATTTCCAGTTTTTTAAGAAATCTCCACACTGTTCTCCATAGTGGCTGTACTAGTTTGCATTCCCACCCACAGTGTAAGAAGTTTCCCTTTTCTCCACACCCTCTCCAGCATTTATTGCTTGTAGACTTTTGGATAGCCTGATCTCCTTTAGGATGGACTGGTTGGATCTCCTTGCAGTCCAAGAGACTCTCAAATGACCTTCAGAGTATTATTCTTCCAGGGTTGCAGATGCATAAATTGTAACCTCATGCTCCCCAATGCTACTGAGGTTGCCCACCAAGCGTTTATTAGTATAAAGCTAATTCCTGGGTCCACTGGTATACAGGGGAAATAATCACAGAGTATCAGAAAATACAGAAGGGAAGTAGGAGGTAGAGTTCTTATCCTCACAGTCCCACAGTCTGATGGAGCACGGGTCCCCAGCTGCTGTGCCGCAGACCACTACTGGTCTGTGATTTGTTAGGCACCGGACCGCATAGCAGGAGGTGAGTGGTAGGCAAGCAAAGCTTCATCTGTATTTACAGCTGCTCCTCGTCGCTCATTACTTCCTGAGCTCTGCCTCCTGTCAGATCAGCAGCAACATTCTGTTCTGTTAGGAGTGTGAACCCTACTGTGACCTGCAAGTTTGAGGAATCTAGGTTGTGCACTTCTTATGAGAATCATCCCAAAACCATCCCCTGACTCCAGTCTGGAAAAATTGCCTTCCACAAAACTGGTCCCAAAAAGTCTGGGGACCTCTGTGATGGAGAGGTGTGGTTGCCAGTAGAAGCCAGTGCATGGTCACATTGAATTTTAAAGCAGGAAATCTCCTGCCTGAATCGTCCAAGGTTTACCAGGATTCTTCATTCCGTGTCTCCTTGCCCAGCCTGGCCTTTCCCAGTGACACTGTGCTGCAACCACATTGGCCCCCTGCTGCCTCTGAGCACACCTGACTTGTGCCAGCCGGCGGGCTTTGCACCTGCAGAGGGCACATCCGCAGTGTCTCACACATACACACTCTCACTGTCGTGCATACTCACACCTTCAGTGTCCTCCCCAGACTCCACCAGATCATACCTTCCCTTCCTGGGTCACCTTCTGGGTCCCTTCAGGTCTCCTGCCCGAGGACCCAGCCTCCCTGTAGCCGTGTCACTTGCTCGCTCCTGCCCTCCCTTTGCCATTGGACCCCTTTGCATTTCACTAGTTAATCATGGACTCCCTTGCACTTGGAGCTATCTCTTGAGTGCACATTTTTTTTCTCTAAATACATGTTCCTAGAAGGAGCTTTTGTGTGTCAAGTGCAAATCACACAGAATCGGGTACTTCAGCAAATACTTGTTGAAAGAAATGACTTCCTTAATCTAAAAGCACTGCCAGGAAATACTCCTCTTAGGTTTAAAGCTGTTTAAATTTTTGATTTGCTAACACAGGAGAGTTTTACCGTACATTTCCGTTTCCTAAGGTGTCATGAATAATGAGAGGGTTTTTTTAAGAGGCAAGACTTAGATCAGTAGTTAAGAGTCTCTGTAATTCTGTTTTGTTTGATGAATGAATGTTTGAAAACCTGGCAGATTATCCAATCCCAATTTAGAATGTGTTATCCATCGAGAGTAAGAATGTATGGAACCACAAATCTGATGTATACATTTAGATTTATGAGAACCTAAGAATGTAAAGCTGATATAGGGAAAGATTAACGTAAGTTTAGATGGTCTACAGTCTCCTGCAAGGGCTTCCCCTGTGGCTCAGACGGTAAAGAACCAACCTGCAATACAGGAGACACAGGTTCAACTCCTGGTCAGGAAGATCCCCTGGATAAGGGATTGGCTACCCACTCCGGTATCCTTGCCTGGAGAGTCCCATGGACAGAGGAGCCTGGCGGGCTGTAGTCCATGGGGTCACAAAAGAGTTGGACAGGACTTAGCAGCTAAACAACAGCAACAAATCCTCCCAAATCAGTTCTATTAATGTTCAACATTGTGTCCAAGCTGATATCATTCCTTGAGCTTTACCTCCTCTCCCTTTCTTTCCTCACCCTTAGGGCGGAGTCCTATTCATGAAACAACTGAAAAATACATAACTACATGAAGGCAAGGAGATGTATTGGGTTGACCAAAAAGTTTGTTAGTTTTTTTTTTTTGTAAGATGTTACAGAAAAACCCAAACGCACTTTCTGGCCATCCTAATAGATGTCACAAACAGTGTAAAAGATAATAAGCAAGGCCTTAAATTGTCCAAGTAGGAGTATACCATAAAAATGTGAAAACTCTTACATCTTAGAGTCAGACCCATCAGCTTACACATATATTAATATTTAGCACAACAGCAAGGACCAACGGGTGAAGCTGATTTGACTGTTAGGAGTTAAGAAAGAGGACAATAGAAATTAAAGCAGCCATGAAGTTCTGTGTAATTCTGATTGTGATGTGGATTTGGCATAACTCTGTATAACCATTTACTCACTTGCCCTAAACCAGCAGGAATCTGTGAAAATAACTAGAGAAGGAATTATACCCTACTTCTACCTTTTCTGGGCTCCATTTGCAAGACTTTGGAACTTCAAAGTCGAGTTTCTCAAATAAAGTGTGTAGATTTTGTGACAACGCTGTTTGAAAAACTCTTCTTGAGGAAGACATTATTCACTGTCTTGACCAGGTGGAAAAGTTTGGAAAGGCTCTGAACTATGCAGAAGCAGCCTTGTCATTCATTGAGTGTGGAAATGCCATGGAACAGGGCCCCATGGAGTCCAAATCTCCTTACACCATGTATTCAGAGACAGTTGAGCTAATCAGGTAAGTGCTGCATTTTCTTGCAAGGGGGCAGTGCAGGGAGGTGGAGGGAAGAATATATATGTATAAGCACTGCGAACACAGAAAAGATCATACCATCTGGGTCAAAATAGTGAGCAGGCCTGCCATTGCAATATCAAGCAGGTGCTGGAGGGTATGCAAAAATGTTATTACAATGCTGTCGGGTTCAGCACACTGGGCTTACTGTGAGCTGATACAGTATATGAGAAATACAATGTAAAAGAAGCCACGAGAAGGCTTCCTGAACTTTTGTGATGACAGGGGTACATATTAAGAGAGCACTGGACCTGAACATGAGGAAACAGGTCTTGCCTTTAGTGACAGAATATGAGGAGGATAAAGTCTACCTTGAGCCATACCCTGAAAGAGGGTATTCGGGAAAGAAAAGAGAGAGAAGAAATCATCATGAAACAATCATGCAGTCTAAATCTGTGGATGTGGCTGCCCTCAAGTATCTTTATGAAGTTGGTTAAACCTGAAGTGTGGGCTTCCAGGGTGGCTCAACAGTAAAGAATCTGCCTGCAATGCAGGAGATGCAGTTTCGATCCCTGGGTCGAGAACGACCTCCGCAGAGAATGGCAACCCACTCTGGTATTCTTGCCTGGAGAATCCCAGGGACAGAGGAGCCTGGCAGTCTTCCGTCCATGGGGTGGCAAAGAGTTGGACACGATGGAATGATCAACACTTTCACTTTCAAACCTGAAATGTACATTGTAGAACTATCTGTGCTATAAATGTATTACTTTAAATAAATGTCTATTATAATTATTCTTGGGGGACAAAAAAAGATCACACTGTCAGCTACCAAGAGCCAGTGTTCATCCCCCAAATAAGATGGACAATCTTGCAATGTGTTTTGGTATCGCCTGCCTCCTTTGATCTATGTGTGAGCAAGGGTTGGGAGGGTGGTTCCTCCAACCCCACTGGCAGGAAAGAAGCTTTGTCTTAGGGAGATGTGAGTTGCCAACTTCACCTGCTGGGAAGTGGCAGAATTTGAACTCTTTTCACCTCTGTGCTGTGGTTTTATTATTATTATCTGATTCAATATTTTTAGATTTGTATAATCTAAATTCTAACTCCAATCAATAAATGATTCGGGAGTATTTAATAACAGGAAAAGAAGGTGCAAGGGAACTTTCAGAAAGGAAACCCATCTGATGATGCTCTGTCTGAAAAGGCACTGGGCTTGTTCTGGTCTAAGACTTGGACCTGAGCACCATCCCCCAGCCTGAGTTAGGACCACGGGGTGAACAGACGCAGGCTTTTTGACAGGGGCACAGAAGGGCCATGGGCGGGAGACACCTGCCTTCCACAAGGGCTGCATGGAAAGGCACATCCTTCATGTCGCTAATGAACCATTAAGGGAATTTCATCCATTAATCGTTTTGAGAGAGCCTTTGTCATGTTTTATGTCTTTAGCTGGTTCAGCTGCTCAGAATAATGTCTAATATGCATTATATGAAATAACCCTTCCCAAAATTAACTTTAAGAGATTTTTCTAATTCTGGAATTCTAGGCCACCTGAGAGTAGCTGTGTTTTACCATGCCTCACTATTCCAGATGGAAAATGTCTTATTTATTTGTGGCTGGGTTGGGTATTCGTTGCTGGGCACAGGCTTCCTCTCATTGTGGAGAGCAGGGCCTGCTCTTCGTTATGGAGTGTGGGGCCACTCATCACAGGGGCCCCTCTTATCTCAGAGGACGAGCTAAATTGCTCTGCTACATGTGGGCTCCTCCCAGACCAGGGCTGGAACCCATGTCCCCAGTCCTGGCAAGCAGATTCTTAACCACTGGACCTCCAGGGAAGTCCTGGAAGATTTCTAATCATCCTAAATTTAATCTTCTTGGTATGCGTTGACCCAAGTCAACAGTGTTTTCCATCACTCTCCTTTGGGATTCAGGAAAGGATGACAGCCTTTGAAATTGTCATCCCAACATCAAGAACACATTATCTGCAAAACGCACTTTTCAAGAATGTTTTGGAAGTCAGTGCTCTCCAGCCCTTTTTCTTATTAAATATTTCTACTACACCAATGCATTGGTGATTCCTTCGTACTGTCTTCTTATTTGGTACAGTATTTTGGACTGTAAAGAAAAGAAATTGCCATAGTAAAAAAAAAAACACAAAACTTAAAATTACTTTAAGAGATCTTGTTGTTCAGTTGCTAAGTTTTGTCCAACTCTTTGCGACCCCGTGGACGCAGTGTGCCAGGCTGTCCTTCACCGTCCCCAGGAGTTTGCTTAGACCCACGTCCATGGAGACCTTAGTTTCTCATGTTTCGTGCTCTGAATAAGGCACAGACATGGACGCCCACAGGCAGGCAGGGAAGAAAGTGGGAGGAAGCAGACAGGCACAGTGCTGCAAGGGATCCTAGAACGCAAGTGCCTTGAGCACAGGGGTTTGGGGGCTTTGTCTGATCTGTTCATTAATGTGTTCACAGCCCCGGGAGGAGTTCCCAGAACATAGTACACATTCAGTCAACATTACAGGTCAGCGGGTCACAGGGCCTGTGGTGAACTGGAGTGTACGTGGTCTGCTTAAGGCATTCACACTTTAAGAACAAACAAACCCAAACAGCAGTAATTGCCTGATTGTATCAGATACGACTGGAGGTGCTGACATGTTCACCTGCTCTGCACCAGGGATGGGACTTGGTGTGGGTGGAGAATACAGTCCATTTTTTAGATGATTGAGTCGAGTCCCTTAAGCTACTCTGAAAACTAAAATAAGAGCTCTTCTTATCTGAGTTAGAAGATAACATTAATTTACTGCTTGAAACTGCATGTTGCCCACCAGGTTTGAGACTCCCTTACCCCACTGAGAGACTCTGAGGAGCCAGGAGCACTGTTGGGGGTGGAGGCTGGGGGGTTCCTGCCACAGATGCCCAGCTGACGGTGTGAGAGAACTCCTCTCTCCACCAAGGAGAAAGTGCCTGGGGGACACTGGCAAGTGGAACCCCACCTCCTCAAACCAAAAATTGCACCTTGTAGACTTCCTTGGAAGTCCAGTGATTAAGATTCCACACTTTCATTTCAAGGGGGCATGGGTTCAATCCCTTTTCAGGAAACTAAGATCCCACATGCCAAAATTTTAGGAAAAAATTGTAGCACAAAGTTCCTGAAAATTAAATTGTTATTGGAACCACAGCCCACAGAAGTAGGCTAGGACTTGCCTGGTAAACCTAAACAGGATGACTTCCTTTTAAAAGAAAATATTTAAACAGGACCCAGAATCTTCTAACATAATAGCCAGAATAGCTAACATACAGTAGAAATTCACTCATCATACCAAGAAACAAGAAAATCACAGCCAAGATGAGAAAAGACAGTTGGTTGACACCAGTAATCAGGATGAATCAGATGTTAGAATTATCTGACAACGATTTTAAAGCAACTATCATAAAAATGCTTCAACAAACAATTACAAATTCTCTTGAAACAAAAAAATTAAAGTCTCAACAAAGAAGAAGAAGTTATTTTGGAAAAGAACCAAGTGGAAATTATGGAACTGAGAAATGTAATGGAAATATAAATCTCATTGGAGGGGCACAGTAGTAGAGAGGAGATGACAGAGGATAGAATCAATGAACTTGAGAACAAGAAACAGAACCTACCCCCAACCTAAGCAACCAAGAAAACAGACTGAAAAAGAAGTGGAGAGCTTCAAGCACAATGACAATAGAACCACCAGGTCATCTTTGGGGTCCCAGAAGAAGGAACTGAAAGACATGTTAAAGAAGTAATGGCTAGGGCTTCCGTGGTGGTTCAATGGTAAAGAATCTCCCTGCCAATGCAGGAGACATGGGTTCCATCCCTGGTCCAGGAAGATCCCACATGCTTCAGAGAAGCTGAGCCCAGGAACCACAGCTGCTGAAGCCCAGATGCTCCGGAGCCTGCGCTCCACAACAGGAGAAGCCACAGCAATGAGACGCCCTCACCCCACAACTCGAGAGCAGCCCCCACTCACCACAGCTAGAGAAAAGCTCACGCAGCAAAAGTGGCCCCGCACAGCCAAAAATCAGTAAATAAGTAGAAGTGTTTTTTAAAAGAAGTAATGACTGAAACTTGCCAAATTTGGCAAAAGGCATAACCCTACAGGTTCAGGAAGCAGAGAAAGTTCCAAACAGCCTAAAGCCAAAGCAGTGCATGTCGGTACACCATCAAAACTACATTTCTGACAACTGAAAACAAAGACAAAGTCCTGAAAGCAACGAGAGACGAATGACACATTACTTGTCGGGACACCAGTTCCGGTAACAGCAGACGTGCGGCCTGAAACCATGGGGGCTGGAAGCGGCATGCCGTGCTTCCAGTGCTGAAAGAAGAAACCTGTCTTAACTGTCACTTAGATTCAGGGAGACCTCGTTTTTCAGGAATAAAGAGGAAATCAAAATATTCTCAGACTAAGGAAAATGAAGTATGTTTCTAACAGACCTACCTTTAAAGGTTGGCTAAAGGAAGTTTCTCAAACAGAAAGGAAGCAGCAAAAGAAGGAATCTTGGACCAATAGGAGGAAAGGAAAAGCAGCATAAGCGAAGGACTGTGGGCACATGCAATAAACCACCCTCCTCATGAGTTATGTAAGCCAGAGTGCTCAGTGCGCGAAACAAAAACCATTCCACCATCTGTGATCAGTGCACGCTGTTAGTGCTCAGTCGTGTCTGACTCTTTGCGACCCCGTGGACTGGAGCCCACCAGGATCCTCTGTCCCTGGATTTCCCAGGCAAGAATACTGGAGTGGGGTGCCATTCCCTTCTCCAGGGGATCTCCCGGACCCAGGGATCAAACCCAGCAGGTCTCCCACATTGTAGGCAGATTCTTTACCACCTGAGCTACCAGGGAAGTCCATCTGATGCTCAAGGCAATGTATTTAAAGGCATAAACATGGAAGTAAGTTTTCTACTCTTCATGCAGAGTAGAAAATGTTGATACCAATTAACTGTGAGCAACAGCTGTGAGAACTAAACAAAGGGGATACACTCGAAAAGGGAGGGAGGTTCAAGAGGGAGGGAACATAAATATACCTACGCTGATTCATGTTGATGTATGGCAGAAACCAACACAATATTGTAATGCAATTATCCTCCAATTAAAAATGAATAGATTTTTCCACACTCGCCCTATGCGATGGCCCACACTCTGTGCAGTCTGCTTTTCTATGAATCTGAATAAATCCATTTCTTACCTATCAAAAAATAAATAAATAAATAAAAATTTTAAAAGCACCTCAAATCTACGTGTGTTGGAGACAGTGTAATAACAGTATCATTTCTTGAGCAACTTGCAACAAGCCAGCCCACTATGCTAAGAGTTTTACAGACACTGGTTTACTTAATCTCTACAGCAGTGCTATGCGATCAGCAGTAATGTACTCATCTTTATATATAAGGGAAAGGAGGCTTAAAGATGTTAATTTGTGTAAGCTCCCCTGACTAATAAGTGACTAATCTGGGATTTGAACCCAGGACTCCCTGACTGTTCCCCAGCCTGCCTCAGGCCTCTCCAAGGATCTGCAAGTAACTTGGTGTATTATTGGAGAAAGGAATGACGATGGACTGCTGGTTCAGAGAAATAAGTGAGATTGAGTAAAGTTCATAAAATCTACTAGTTATGCATCCAGGATACTGCTGTCAAAATAAGAGTTTTGTAACAAAACAAAAAAAAAAGTAAACCCACACCTTCATCTGAGGACAAAGAGTAAACATTTTTCTGGAGATTAGTCTGAAAGGGTTGAACTTTACCAACATCTTCTCAGCCACTCAGCCATAGATCAGAATTTGTAAAAAATGGATGCATCACCATATGCCTGGGTAATGCTTGAATGGATAACACTCTTGACCATCTGTAGCATTTGGACTTGTATTGTTAAAAAGCAGAAAGTAGCTAGATAGTCATCAAAGTCATTTTGTTCTAGTTGTGACAATAATGTCATGGTTAGGTGAAATGGGGCAACTTCAGTTGGCTTTCAAGAAAGAACTGTCAGGGCTTCCCAGGTGGCTCAGTGGTAAAGAACCCTCCTGCCAATGCAGGAGATATGGCTTCAGTCCCTGGGTCAGGAAGATCCCCTGGAGAAGGGAATGGCAGCCCACTGCAGCATGCTTGCCTGGGAAGTCACATGGACAGAGGAGCCTGGCAAGCTGTAGTCCACAGGGTCACAAAGAGTCGAACATGACTTGATGCCTAAATAACAATAAAATCCGCAAGCACCATGAAAAACCAAGAGAACTACCAACCTAGATGTTCGACGGCTGATAAGAAAGCTTTATCTCTTTTTCTTTCTTTTTTTTTTCTTTTTAAGGTATGCCATGAGACTAAAAACCCACTCCAGCCCCAATGCCACACCAGAGGATAAACAGCTGGCTGCATTATGGTAAGTGCACCATATCGGCTTAAAATAGCCGCCCCAGCCTTGTACGTCTCCACTGGCGAACCTGGTGACCTGGTCCCAAAGTGCATGACGTGTTCACAGTGCTTCTAACCCCAAACTGAAGGCATATCTCCAGGCGGCCATGGAGAGCCTGCACCCTGCTGTCCTATGCATGAGGGGAATTCATGACTAAAAGTGAACAGGTCCATGACACAAGGACTCGTTCTGTGTGTGTGTGTGTGTTAGAATCAGGTAGGTTTGTGTTTTACTCATTTGAATGTGAATTGTGCCCAATGTAATCTCTCATATTTAACAGTTTGGATGCAATCAAAACAATTCATCTGTCTCTTTACGTGTGGGATTAGTAGGGCTGAGTCAAGACGGTACGTTCAGGTTCTCAACACTTTAAACTGAGGAGCCATTCCTTGTACTTTGATAATCAAAGACTTTTAAAATGTTAATCAACATGTAATGGGTTTTTTCCTATAATAACAGAAATTATAATGATTATGTGATTATAATAACAATAATTTTCCCCATGACATTTCCTCAGGACGCCTCACTCAACTCTATCAAATTACAGGACGCCTCTCAGTTCCTGCTGTGATAAGGAACCAAAATGTCTCTATCTCTGAACGGTTCATACTCCACCCTAGAACCGGATTTGCAAGTCATAGAACTGAATTTCGAAATAGTAATAGTAATAATAATAACAGTGACAGACACAAAGGAGAGGGTCTCTGATAGTTTTGCATCACCACTTCATGTAGAGTTTGATGTGCTGTTACTCAGGGATACATTGTATTAGTACAACACAGGGAATGAATGCAGCCAATATTTTGTAATAACGGTAAATAGAAAGTAACCTTTAAAAATTGTATTAAAAATAAATTTTAAAATTTAAATAAAAAGATAAAGTTTGAGACCATTAAGTTGTATTTTCTAGGTTGGTATTCTACTATGTCAATACCATATCTGAGTTAGCAAATAATTATGAGTGAAAAGCACCAAGGAATAGTTGATATGGCTCAGGAAATGCTTTCTTTGCTCTTTTCAAACTTCAACTTTCATGTTAGGATTAATAAATTAACTATGATTAGTTCATATTATGTAAGAGGGATTACTGGTATGTAACTAACAAATATATAAACTATAAAAATAATAACTACTCCCAACATAGTTTTTAATTATTTGTAAAACACATTCATATCTGTTACTTTATTTGAACTAATCATAGTCCAGTAAAGTAGGTTTTTTAACTTTTTGTTTTATATTGGAGTATAGCCGATTAACAGTGATGTGGTAGTTTCAGGTGAACGGCAAAGGGATTCAGCCATACATACACATGTATCCATTCTCCCTCAGTAAAGCAGCTTAAAAGGGAAGGTGACAAAGACAGGTAGAAGGGCTGTGCTTTCAGCAAAGCCACGGCCGGAAGTTCAAGACGTCCGAGGAAAATCGGAGTGAATTAGTTCTGCCCTGAAGTTTACCCAGAAAGCAGAGCGCTGTGCTAGAGCTTCTCACGCCTCTTGTGGAGAGAGACTGCCCTCTAGTGGTGGAAGGAGAAAATGGCCAGCCGCTTAGTCCCAGCGAAGACGCAATAAAGCTATTCGTTCCTTATTCTTTATTTATATTCATTTATATTATATGTACACACATATAATACTCTTTATTTATATGTACACACATTGTTTATTGACTCATATTTATATTATTTGTGTATATATGTTCTTTATATATATTTATATGAAGTGATGTTTTTAATGGAGTAACAAGTTTTGAATCACATCAAACAAATAGGAAGGTCAGATACCTGCAGACATATATGCATGTATAGAAATACTTAATATATATATAATCATGCTATGAACTTTGAGTGCATTGGAACAACAAGATAGTTGGCACAGGGGCCACTCATTTGTCTCTTCCTGCCGCAGTTACCGATGCCTGGCTCTTCTGTACTGGAGGATGTTTCGACTCAAAAGGGATCACGCTGTGAAGTATTCAAAAGCACTTATCGACTATTTCAAGGTACTGTCTGGCTAACGGGCAGAATTCTGTACCCAATTTTCTCCCTGTCAAGGACATGTTCAATGTAGAATCCACTGATTTGGGGCTAATACAGGAGACGTCTGCTATCTGCACTAACCCCATTTACGACCTACTCATGGCATTCAGGGCTCAGAGAACCCATCTAATTTATTCCCCTGCCTGTGTCCAAGTATTTTTATAGCCCCTAGAGAAAGAAGATCCTGTTACCCACTCCAGTGTCCTAGGATATCCATCTTTATAGCTAACATAAATTCCTCGTGTTCACTCAGAGCTTCTTCCTCTTATAAGTAGCTCCTTAGAAGTAACTCCTCTTTGCTATCTCCAGTCACTAATTTAATTTTAAATAAAGGTGTTATTTTAAATGATAAGAAATGGCTTGGTAGAACCCAGAGGCACTAGAATAGCACTGTGCACATAAAAGGATAAAATTGGAAACTGTGCTTTTTTATGGAATGAAATCATTTTCATTGGGAGAATGAAGAAAGAGGAGGGGAGACAAAAAACCTCTGTGTTCTGTTGTGAAGTGGACCTGACATCTTAATTTATTTGAGACTTTTTGCCTCTTCACTGTCCATTTGACTATAGAAACAAGAAATTATACCATCTCTGCCTCCACCAATCTTTATCAGATACACAACCATCATTTTATATTTATTTTTGGCTGCACTGGGTCTTCGTTACTGAGTGGACTTTTCTTTAGTTGCAGCGAGCAGGCGCTAGTCTTCTTAAGGTGCCCAGGCTTCTCCTTGCGGTGGCTTCTCTTGCTGAGCGCACAGGATCGAGGCGCCTAGGCTTCAGCAGTGGCAGCATGCAGGCTCAGCAGTTGCGGCTCGTGGGCTCTAGCGCTCGGGCTCAGAAACTGCGGTGCACAGGCTTTTAGTTGCTTCATGCCCGAACCAGGAATCTTCCCGGACCATGTCCCCCTGCACTGGCAGGCAAATCTTTATCCACTGTACCACCAGGGAGGTCCCCACGGTCATCATTTTTTATCTTTAATCCCCAACTCCACTTCTTGGAGATAATTTCTGATGGCCCGGCTGCGTTGGAGGTCCTGTGGGCCATGTCCATCCAGTAGCCTGGCCATGCATGTAGAGTATCCAGGTGCTAAGTCAAAAAGGTAACTGTCTTAGTCCATTGACAATCGTGGGTTATAATGACAAGTACTGACACTAAGAGTCTCCCTTTACTTTGGGTGCCTAAGTTTAAGATAAATCATTTTCAAAAATTTAGAATCTAAGAGCTATTTTAGGCTCCAAAATCACTGCAGATGGTGACTGCAGCCATGAAATTAAAAGATACTTGCTCCTTGGAAGAAAAGTTATGACCAACCTAGACAGCATATTAAAAAGCAGAGACATCAGTTTGTCAACAAAGGTCCATCTAGTCAAAGCTGTGGTTTTACTAGTCATATATGGGTGTGAGAGTTGGACTATAAAGAAAGCTGAGCACCAACAAATTGATGCTTTTAAACTGTGGTGTAGAAGTAGACTCTTGAAAGTCCCTTGGACTGCAAGGAGATCCAACCAGTCAATCCTAGAGGGAATCAACCCTGAATATTCATTGGAAGGACTGATGCTGAAGCTGAAACTCCAATACTGATGTGAAGAACTGACTCACTGGAAAAGACCCTGATGCTGGGAAAGACTGAAGGCAGGAGGAGAAGAAGACAACAGAGGATGAGATGGTTGGATGGCATCACTGACTCAATGGACATGAGTTTGAGCAAGTCCTGGGAGTTGGTGATGGGCAGGGAAGCCTGGCGTGCCGCAGTCCATGGGGTTGTAAAGAGCTGGACACAACTGAGTGACTGAACTGAACTGACTGAAGAGCTATTACTTAAGAGTTATTATAGTAAAGCAATGCACTTAAAGAAAGAAAGAATCCGAACTCTAAGCCACAGAGCTTACCACAGAACTTTTAAGAGACCCAGGTTCTTAATGTATGTGGATTGTCTGTGAAACTGTACAGAATGAACAGAGAACATAACTTAAAAATCAGAACTCCCCCTCCAGAAGTCCCTGGTAGATATCCTAAATCAAAGGCCATTTCAATACTACTTAAAGTTCAAAGATCATGAAAACTTTAGGAAACAATGATTAGTGTTAGTTGCTCAGTCATGTCTGACTCTGCGATGCCATAGACTATAGCCGTCCAGACTCCTCTGTCCATGGGATTCTCCAGGCAAGAATACTGGAGTGGGTTGCCATTCCCTTCTCCAGGGGATCTTCCCGACCCAGGGATTGAACCTGGGTCTCCATTATTGCAAGCACGTTCTTTACCATCTCAGCCACCAGGAAACAATGATAGTTGGTTCATAAAAAATAAGTTTCATGAGTACAACTGGCTCTGAAAAACAGGACTTTGCCCCCACACGTGTTTTTTATAGCCACAGGACCTCAGTTGTAGTGAAAGAGGCCTGAAGGCAATGTTGCGCAATTCCCATGTATAAGGCCATTTCTTACCATTTTGATAACACCTCCACTAAAAGCTAAAAATCAGTCACCACTTCATAAAATTCTTTTTAACCAAAAGAAACATTTTGTCTCTGGGGAACCACACTGAGGCTATTATATTTTCTTGTTTCTGGAAGGGAACATTCACATCCATATTATAAAGACCATTTTTTCCTTAACAATCTCACAGACTTATGTCCAAGAAAGCTTCATTGGACTCTCAGGGAGGAAATCTTCTGTACATTTAGAAACTTTCCTTGCCAAAGGCAAAATGTCTTTAAAATGCCTGATGCAAACAACTGGCTCAGGCAACAAATCCTAAATCAGAATATTTAAATAAATCAGAATTTTTGAATTCACTCTCTGTTAAGGAAATATATTTAATCTATTGTTCAAGAGCAACTTCCTTTAAGAGAAATACTTTTAAGCTTTGTAAGTTAAAACAGTAACAGTTGATGTCTCATATATTTTCAGGCATTAAATGTATGTCAACAGTTCTGCAAATATGCCCTACATTTAATATAAGATGTTCTCAATGTATGCGTGGGAGGAGGGTTGCCCGAAGCCAATAGCTTAGTAATTATAACTTCCCAGATCCAGTTTCTGTGAACCTGCATTTTATCTACAGTGTCTGCCATTACTTCTCTCAGCGGTCACCTAAGAACATGTTATTGTGGGCTGTTTAAACTCAAGCAGATGGTACTCACTGTCAACATTTTTGTTTTCTTGCAGAATTCATCTAAAGCTGCCCAAGCCCCATCTCCATGGGGGGCCAGTGGAAAGTAAGTTCATTTTTGCGAAGTGAAGATGATAAATGAGATGTTGCATGAAGCTGAGCAAGGGCTTCCTGGGGGCTCAGTGGTAAATTACCCGCCTGCCAGTGCAGGATATTCAAGAGACGGGTTGGAGACCTGGGTCGGGAAGATCCCATGGAGGGGGAAACGGCAACCCACTCCAGTATCCTTGCCTGGAGAATCCCATGGACGGAGGAGCCTGGTGGGCTACAGTCCATGGAGTTGCAAAGAGTTGGACATGACTGAGCCCTCCCACCCCAAACACATACCCACATACATAGATAGGAAGCTGGGCAAAGCGCTACTGTTGACAGTGCCTGAGGGGCCGCCCTACCTCACCAGGTACTAACCTCTCTTGTTTTCCCGTGCTCTCCCCTTCCAGGAGCACTGGAACCCCATCCCCCATGTCTCCCAACCCGTCCCCCACCGGCTCCGTGGGCTCTCAGGGGAGCCTGTCCAACGCCAACGCCCTGTCCCCATCAACCATCGTCAGCATCCCACAGCGCATCCACCAGATGGCAGCCAACCACGTCAGCATCACCAACAGCATCCTCCACAGCTACGACTACTGGGAGATGGCGGACAACCTGGCCAAGGAAAACAGAGGTGCGTGCACCTTGGGGGAGGTGTGCGTGGGTCAGCCACAGCTCGGGGAGACAGCCTGATCCTTGGGCATCACCGGGCGAGATTTTATCATTCACCGAGTAGAAGCTGTCACCTGCTGGTGAACTTTCCCTGACTTCTCCCCCTAAGCACCTCCGGGGCCTTTGCCTATCTTTATTGTTCCAGTGGGAAAGATCAGAGATAGAAATGGGGTTAGAGATGATATAGGTACCAATGACATAGGTAGAAGTTTTAAAGATATGCACGCATATGTTTTTCCTTTAGACAGTGAGGTCCTTGAATAGGGATGACATTTTATTCAACTTTGTAACTGTAAGACATGCACGGTGCCTAGAACATAGCTAGGGATCTGAAATACTGGATGAATTAATTAGCGGATGAGTATGAATGTTCCTGGGTTTCCCAGATGGTGCTAGGGGAAAGAACCCACCTGCCAATGCAGGAGGCGTAAGAGACACGGGTTCGATCCCTGGGTCAGAAAGATCCCCTGGAGGAGGGCATGGCAACCCACTCCAGTATTTTTGCCTGGAGAATCCCTGGACAGAGGAGCCTGGTGGGCTGCAGCCATACGGTCTCAAAGAGTTGGACACGACTGAAGTGACTTAACACATACACACGTGAATGTTACTGCCTATTCAAATGATAGCTGATTACTACTGAAAAAAAGATTTTTATGGGTAAGCTGTATTTCTTTCTTTTTAATTAACTTTTATTGGAGTATGGTTGCTTTACAGTGTTGTGTTAATTTCTGCCATGTGGATATATATATCCCTTTTTTTCTGATTTCCTTCCCATTTAGGTCACCACAGAGCCTGGTAGAGTTCCCTGAGCTATACAGTAGCTGTATTTCTTTTAAATAATGTTTGTTTTTACTCATAAAAGCATGTTTAAACTTATATGTATGTAAACTATGGCTAAATTTGTAAAGTACAGAAAATAGAGAAAAAAATTTTTAATTATCAGTAATCTTACCATGGGCTTCCCTGGTGGCTCAGTGGAAAGAACCCACTTGCCATGCAGGAGACATGGGTTCGATCCCTGAGTCAGAAAGATCCCCTGGAGAAAGAAATGGCAACTCACTCCAGTATTCTTGCCTGGAAATTCCATGGACAGAGGAGCCTGGTGGGCTACAGTCCACGGACGCTAAGTTGGACACGACTTAGCGACTAAGCAACAACAATCTTATCACTAAGAAAAAGCACTATTAACATTCTATTGAAATGCCATCTAGTCTTCTCCAAATATGCATGAGTTTTACCAAAATAAGATCATAGTGTATGTACAGTTTTACATCCTTTTTTTCATTTTACATTATATCAGGCATATTTTCATGTCACTAACTAGTTCAAAAACACCCTTTATGATGGTTCTGTAACACTGTCATAATAGTGGTTATACAGTCGCATGTGTTCATTGCTCAGTCGTGTGACCCCTTTGTGACCCCATGGACTATAGCCCGCCAGGCTCCTCTGTCCATGGGATTCTCCAGGCAAGAACACTGGAGTGGCTTGCCATTTCCCTCTCCAGGCACTCTTCCCAACCCAGGGATCGAACCATGGTCTCCTGCATTGCAGGCGGAAGCTCTTCTGTCTGAGCTACTAGGGAGCTGAGCTACTTTATACAGTCATAAAGTATCACAGTTTCTCAAACCATTCCCCTGCTGTTGAACATTTATGTTACTTCCACTTTCTTCCACTATTACAAATAACAGTATGATAGATATCTTCATAGAAATCATTGTTCATATTTCTGATTACCTTCTGACAGGAGGGAGTTATAGAAATAGAATGTTGAGGTCAACAGGTATAGATTATTTTAAGACATGCATTTTTATGAAAGAAAGTGAACTATTAGTCGCTTACTCATGTCTAACTCTTTCCACCCCATGGACTGTAGCCTGCCAGGCTCCTCTGTCCGCAGGATCCTCCAGGCAAGAACACTGGAGTAGGTAGCCATTTCCTCCTCCAGGAGATCTTCCTGATCCAGGGATCGAACCCGAGTTCTCCTGCTTTGCAGGCAGATTCTTTATTGTCTGAACCATCAGGGAAGCCCTGATTGGTATATATGTTACTAATTTTCTCCCTACCAAGTTCCTGCTCTTTCTCCAGTGCTGAGTGAGAGCTTTGTTCCCATGGTAACATGCTTCTGAGGCCGAGACTGACAAGTTCACGGGGAGATGAGGACCAGTGGCAGAGAGGCAGCTTGGCGCTGAGCACACGAAACCAATGGTGTAACCATCGGGACACAACAGCAGCTCAGGGATGGTGCACCCAGAAATCCCAGTGGAGATGCCACGGAGATCAGGGCTGGGGGCCAAGACCAGCAGGGCAGGCTCCCAGAGGAGCTGGCACAGAACAGGGTTTTGAAAAGCAGATATTGGTCGAGTAGCTGAGATGGAGTCAGGGTGGATGTCACAGGTGAATAAAAGAGCAAGGACAAATGTACAAAGGTTTCTACAGCCAGTTTGGGAGAACCTGAGCAGGCCAGGCTCCAGATGGTGCCACCAGCTGCCACCTGGCCCTCAGCAGAGCCACACAGCCAGTCTGAAGTCCGCCTGGCTTCCCCCAACCTGCCCTTCCCCCCCGGCTCTGCTCCTGGCTTCCTGCCACACTGCCCTCCCTGCCACCTGGACCCTGGCTCTTCTCTGAGCCTCCCTCGTGGGACCTCACTCAGCACCTCCGGGAGCACCTTTCAGACCCTTGTCCCAGGTCCTTGGGTTTCCGTGGTGGCTCAGACAGGAAAGAATCTGCGTGCAATGCGGGAGACCAGGGTTCAGCCCCTGGGTCGGGAAGGTCCCCTGGAGAAGGGAATGGCTACCTGCTCCATTATGCTTGCCTGGAGAATCCCATGGGCAGAGGAGCCTGGCGGGCTGCAGTCCGTGGGGTCACCGGGAGTCGGACACAGCTGCACGCCTGACACTTGCCCCAGATTCTCACTTCCAGAGAGAGCTGTTCAGTGGTCTTGGACAGTGCACCATGGCAGCCCCGTGAATTGATTTGTCTCTGTCAGCCGCCAAACTGCAGTCTCTGAGATGGCAGAGCCTATGCATTCTTCATCTTGGTGTCCTCTCTGACTCCACCCTTGTGCCCCTAGCATAGCGCCTTGGCAGTGATAATATGTTTAATGCAAGGACAAACCCAGAGAAGGTTCACAGATTGGTTGGCAACCTCAGTAGAGATGTCTCAGAACCCATCTGTGAACAAGGCCCTACACTATAGCACAGGGAACTCTACAGAGGATTTTTGCAATAACCTATAAGGGAAAAGAAGCTGAATCGTATTTCACGTATGACTGAATCACTATGCTGTACTCCTGAAACTAACACAACATTGGAAATCAACTCTTCTCCGACAGAATAAAAATAAAAGACAGTTTATACAAGCTGATTGCTCCCAAAGCCAAAAAAAAAAAAACCATCCCTGATTTGCCTCCAGGAGCCCCAGAATCCCCCAGGGGCTCAGCATCTAACACAGTTGAGTACAGTATAAAGGCTGACAGCTTCAGGCCAAGTTCAGGGTGAGAGGTGTCACTGCAGAAAGGAGAATGCCGCCCGGGGAAGTCGGTTTTCCTTGCTATCTGGCTGAATAGATGTCACTGGTTTGAATTAGAAGTCGCCAGTCGAGGGACCCTCGGGACGCAGGTGCGCTCTCTGCTGGGGGGCTCACGTCACGTGGCGGGACCGGGTGCTGAGCATGTATCCCGCTGACGACCCTCTCTGTCTCACCAGAATTCTTCAACGACCTGGACCTGCTCATGGGGCCGGTCACACTGCACAGCAGCATGGAGCATCTGGTCCAGTACTCCCAGCAGGGCCTGCACTGGCTGCGGAACAGCGCCCACCTGGCCTGAACGCCGCCCCGGCCGCGGCGGGCGCGTCTCCAGGATGGCCCAGCGCTTCTGGACACTGTGCTCCCCACCTTCCCGGCCGCAGCATTTCTCGAAAGGCGGTGAATATTTTTCAGCATCAAACAGCAGTCTGTTCTCCCAGGGCGTGTGTGTTTGTGTGTGTGGGTGTGGAATAAGCTGCCAGTGGAGGTGTGTAAGACACAACAGTTCTCTAGAACACATCTCCTTTGTCTAGTTTCCAGCATCCCAGGCTAGACAAAGTGATCTGATGTTTCTGATTAGAGAAAACACACTCACTCACACACACACACACACACACACACATTTTCTAGTTCAAAGCTCAACCGTGACTTCTTAAAATATTCAACCAAAATCTCATGGGTTAGTGAACCAGGTGCAATATAGCACACCAAAAGCTTGACTGCCAGTTAAGATGAACCCAGCTCTTATACTATTGATTCCTTTCAGTATTAATATACTTTTCTCCCATTATTTTTTTATTGTCTGTATTAATGGGTTTTTGAATAATGAAAATAAGTCAGTTATTTTTGTGCTGGCTGTTTACTAGATTGCATGTTACCAAATACCCTGCTTTTTGTCTAGTCCCTCCCCTCCTCCATCCAATTCTCTATCTAACTCTACTATCAACTAAAGGTGTTAGACGCAAATGAGTCAACTCCCATGGGCCTTCCCTGCCCTGCCCCCCAAAATAGGATGACCATGACCCTGACCCTGAGATTTGGTGGGGGGAGGGGGGGAACTCTGTGTCTTTGAAAACGCACCCGCATGGAAGCAGCAACAGCTGTGTCCCTGGGCTCGGCGAGGAACTGACCCCCACACATTCCAGGAGCCCCCCGGCACGTGTGTTCCTTCCTCCTGCCACCGTGACCCCAGGGGCTGTGGAGCCCCGTGGTTTGTCAGCCGATACTTTTCAACAAGTCTTTTCTTTCCGTGAGACCTTTCTTACCCATGTTCTTGGCCAAACGAGGACATTGTCTCGGATGTCCCTTCCCTCCGAATCTGTCTGTTGCTTTGTCAGGCCAAGAACTGTTTGTTGCCATGATTCTGTCTAATCCTCCCTGTCTTTGGAGAAAGTGCCGTGCGGACCTTGAATGCATTTTTGACCTGGGGGATGTATTTCAGGGTCTGATGAGCAGGTTGCCCACCACAGAGCAGGTGATCCCTGTAGTGATTGCGGTTCTGTCTGGGGCAGCAGCGACCCGAACATCATACTTAAGCCCCCGTGCGTCTGGTACGTGTATGTCTTCCCCCGATTCTTTTTTGTTTTGTTTAATTAAGTTTACATTTTAGTTTTTTCAACATTTTGTTTACAGTGTTTGTCTGAAATTTCTTTTATTGTCTGAAATTTATTTCTTTTATTGTCTCTTATCATACCCTAGATTTAGTGTTCTTGTTAAATATATTTGAATACAAAGATATTGATAAAAAAGAAAAACTCCTGGAAAGGAGGATATACCTTGTCATGCTTTAAAAACAAAAATAATGACCTTGATGCCTCTCACTTGACAAAATTACCCCAAGACAGCCTGAGAAAGACAGGTGATGGGGTACATGGAATAATCCATTTTTCAAGGTGGTGGTAATGTAAACATTTATATCAGATGCTAATGGTCTCACTGGTTTGGTTGCAATGTTAACATTTTCATCAGCCTGATCTGTGGGTGGGAAATCAGATTTCTATAATCCCCTATCTCTAAGCACTGATTCAAAACTGTTCAAGTGATTGAACAGCTTTGGCGATTTGAAATTCATTCAATGAACAAGTGAAGGCTTTGTGAAATTTGTATTTGGTGTTGGCCTTTAAGCAGCTGGAAATATTAACAATACTTCTTTTTTCACATTTATCCAACTGCGGTGCTTCTGACATTCCTTTCACTAATTATTACTAGATTTCCCCTTCCCATTGGGGTCTCACTTAAGACATTTTTGTTTTTGTTTGTTTGGGTTTTTTTTGGAGGACTGAGGCTTAGTTCTACTCACTGTTGCTGAATTCTGATGAAATGTTCAGACTCTCACATAAAAGGATGGCCCCCCAGTGTCCCTCGGGCATTCCTGGGTACCTTTCTGATCTTATCCACCTTTAAGCCCCAGGCCCCATGGTGGCGTCCACGTAGTGTGCTCACGTGTAAAGGCACAGGCTGTCTTCAGCTGGTTGTGCCGCAGCACTGCATCAGAACGCCGTGAGCCGTGGTCGTTTCCAACAAAACGTGAAACCAGTTAACTGGGGGCAGTCACAGCATGCCATTCTTCTCTGTCTCATTTCATTGGTGGAGCATGTCGGGGCAGTGGTTGTTCCTTGCTTTGGCATCAGTGCTTTTGATAAGGAAGCATCTTCTGATCATTGCTGGTTCCTTTTCTTTAGTTTTGTTCAAAGTAGAAATAGCTTTCTTGTGTTTTCTGATTATGAAACTAACAGACACTCGTGGTGAAAATTCAAACAATACAGACAAGTGTAAAGTAGGAAGTACTCAGCCCCAACCCCCAGAGACAGCACTGCTCACCCTTCCTTGTATATCCTTCGGGAGAGCCTCCCATTTAAATGTAGAATGGTATCATCATTTCCTCCTATTTGAAGACATTATTTCTTCAGAAGTTCAGTACAAGTTCAACTGGCCTTATCCCTCCATGACCTGGATGGACCTGGATCACAATTGTTAGAAATATCTTTGAAAGGAACCCAAATATATTCATGATTAAAGTGTGGGATTTGTTACCATTCGACACAGATCAGACTTAGATGCAGAATTGTGCTTGGGAAGAGAGGTTCGGTTAAAACGTTATTTCTGGAAACTTTCAAATTGCAAACGGAAAATCGGACCCACTGTCTAAAGAGAAATGTACTGGAAAAAAAAATCTGAAAAGTTGACAAACTGTGTATTGGATTGAACATGTGGAATCAACGCAGTGAGCTTTTCTGCACTAAAACGTACCCTCGTATCTACAACAAAGATGTGTGTATTACATAACAGTGATGTGTACATTTCTGACATCCCATACATAATATACACAGTTTGTATAAATGCATACATTTAAAAATATATATGTACAGTGCAGCTACCATAAAACTGTAGTACGCTTGAAGGATATGACCAGTGCCTAATGTTGAGTATAAGTCACTTCGTGTTTAAATCACCTCGGAAGTGCAGTAATTGTTATCAAATTAATCAGTGCAGCCAACCTTATTTATGAACCACATCTTTGAAACTGTGCAGTAGTATATACATATATATTTTTAAATAACATTTTTCACAGTTTTCCAGAGTTACTGTTGAAATCTGTATCACCAAAAAAAAAAAAAAGCAAGATTTTTTTTAATGATGTAGACACTCTCCAAACCCAGTAATCTGTGTGTGATTTCCTGTTTGTAGATACCCAAGACACTTTAGCAGTCACCAGCCTTAATGCATGTACAGGATATTATTGTGACTTAATTTATCTGCAGTTTTTAATCCATGTGAAATTGGAATTTATAAACTGACTTGGATTAACTATGTCTGCCTTTCTAAGGTTGCAAATGTTACATTAAATGATTTATGTTGTAAATGAGAGACATTGAGTTGTACGTAAGAAAAGAAAAAATGTCCACCAATTTCTGTGAATATTTTTACAAGGAAACTTCAGACTCAAAATATATTCAAATAAGCATTCTGGTCCCCAGTTCATAATCTCTTTAGAATGGACCTTGTAGTTTCATAAAAATTTTTAAATGACGCTTCCAACATATTATCATTACTAAGTCTGATATTTTTCATGGGGGGAAAAAGTAATGTTTTCATTATTGGAAGTGTAGTTTGCTACTTGTCTTTGCCATTTCCCAGCATATTTACACACATGTGTGTGAGAACACACCCACAGTGTCCCAGAAAATGCTGAACAGGAAGCTTAAGGGGATTATTTTGATAGCTACACTGATGCCTGTCCAAGCAGCAGCCCCAGGACACCGTTTTACTCAGCATTCCATAATGACAGAAGTCAATTCCCTCACTTGTGTCTACCAGGTTTTTCCAACTCTAACCAGCATGGTGGGATAATGTCAGCATTATTGAGTGAAATGATAGAATTTTGAACTGCCGAAGACAGAGAGATTAGACCAGTGGCTTCCCATAATACATAGCTCCTCCATGTGAGAGCGTTTTTTATTAGCCTCCTATTTTTTTACTCTTCTTTCTCCCCTTTTTCATTCCTCTCCTCCCCAAATTAAACTAAGTAGAAACAGAAACAGTAACAGAATAAAGCAATTACTTCACTTTTCCCAGCCGATATCTTTATATTCAAATACGACAGCAGAACCCTAGCTCTGGTCACCACGAAGACCACCTCATCTCAAAGATGACCAGAGTGGGGTCCTTGGCTTTGCTTGCTCCAGAGACTACTGAACTTGGCACTCTTTCAGAGGTGGTTTGGGCTAAGAAATGTCCAATAGTCTTTCAAGAACTATCTTCCCCTTATGCAGTTTAGCCTACTACTCAGCTGAACTCTGTTCCCATCAGAATCCTATTTTTTAAGAAGTGGTGGCCCAGAAGGTAAAGAATCTGCCTGCAATGCAGGGGACCAGGTTTGACTCCTGGGCCGGGAAGATCCCCTGGAGAAGGAAATGGCAACCCACTCCAGTATTCTTGCCTGGGAATCCCAGGGACAGAGGAGCCTGGCGGGCTACAGTCCATGGGGTCGCAAAGAGTCGGACACAACTGAGCAATTGACATTTCACTGAATCAACTGGAGTCTTAAGAGATCTTTTTTTTAATGAAAGGGAAAAAAAAAAAAACCCAACAACATAAACTGCATTTCCAGCAATCTGGAGCCAGAGTTTATTTCCTCGTCTTCCCATTCCCAGAAGAGCACAGTTTTTCAACATTACAAACTTCCTAACAAATAGCACAAGAAATGTTCAGACTTTTGAGATGCGTGTTCTCTTTGTTCAAACTAAATCCTTCTGTATGTCATCAGATGGGTGTGTTTGCTTGGCATAAGGGAAATTATAAAACTCTGTTCTCAAATGAAATACATCTGACCATGGTTTGGTTTGGGTTTTATTATTTAATTGGTGCTCTGAGGCAGCATGGGGTGAATTTGGGGTCAGTTGAAAGGGGATTTAGGCTCACAGCTCTTAACTTGTAGTAATGGGAATCAAGGGATTAAATCCCTCTGCGTTACTTTGAAAATCCACCTCTTATGACCAATTGTGAACACACTGCTCTGAGGGATGAATTCAGGGTACTAATTGCCAGTCAACACAAGGATCAGCATTTGTCTTTAAGCATCAGGAAGCAATGTTGAGACCTGAAAAGCCGGAGCAGGCTCATTTCTAACATAGGAAAAGCTCATCAGAAAATGCTTATATCCAGCTATGATGTAAGATAATGCCAATGTTTAGAATTATCGAAGAGTGCTCTTTGTTTATAAAAAATAATCACAATTTTCTTATTTCTGTATTTGTTTCCAGTGCTTTTTCAGTTTTTCATAAAACAGGGCTGGTTGTTTTTTTTTTTCCCTCCAGTATTTTATCTTCTCTTTATTTCTAGATGCCCAAATGAGCAAAGAAAATACTTACCACTGAGGAATGTGCATTACTTGACTGGGCAGTGTCTACCCACAGTAGCCAAATGTATGTGGCTTTTTAAGGAACATTCTTTGAGTCTCCTGTTACCTTCATCTACAGCGTGAATGATCACCAAGGCTGAAGTATGGCCACATAGTTCAAGTGTCAAAAATCCTAAGCATGTGATACACTCATCTTTAGTGATAGGCACTTCCTTAGCCTTACCAGCTATCTCTGGGATCTGTTTGTAGGGCAAAAAACAATATTAACACTTTCCTCTGAGCAGTTTGCAAACTGATTATGAATCCCCTGAAGTCCCCAGCACTGCCAACTCAACCCAAAATTTCCTTCTCCATGAGCTGACTTGATTTTTTTTTTTTTCATTCCTTTGGTTGTTTTTTTTTTTTTCCTTCTATCAGTCAGATTCTGTATCTTGACTATTTAGAAGAACAGTTACTAGAGACAGTGGGAACCTTAAGCAAACAGATTCAATATTGGAACTTGACGATGTTGAGGTTTGAAGGGTCAGGGGTAAATCAGGCTGCCCAGGCACTCTCCTCCTTTGCTTGCTGCCCCCGGATCTTGGATAAAGCCCCTCTCCACAATTCCATTTCCTCTACGTGAAATGTAGCCCAATTAACTGCGACTCCAAAGATCCAGTTGCGGATCACCAGATTAGAGCAGCAGTTGGAGACCCCACTTGTCGCCGGCAGCTGGAGTTAGCATCACTGTCACAACAGAGGCGCCTGCAGCCCAGTCTCTCTATGTACCATGATGCAAAGGTGTGTGATGTGCAAGGTCCCAGCTCCAACCTGGTTCTCTGGAACCAAGAGGATGACAGTGGGGTCTCCATGGGACCCCCGAGCTTTTGCTGTTACCACTTTTGAGTCCAACCTGCTGGTAGGCAGGGCTCTAATAGATCGGTGAGGGGGCAGGGGTCTGTCCTTGCCAGGTCCCCTGCAGGTGGGGGTATAATCCCACCACCCTCTTCCTCGTCCCATCCTGGCCTTAAGAAACGGGGAGGGGGGACATGGGGTCCCGCTCCCCGTGGGTGCCTCTTCAGTGAGAACACAGCCTGCCTCTAGACCACCAGGCTCTGAACACACCGGTCTGGCCAGATGCCACACGGCACCGTCTGTCAGGACCCGTGCTCTGCTGGCTTTCCTTTGATGCCAGGAGGCCAGTTCTCGTCATGAGAATCCTGCCCCTCTGGTGGTGACTTTTTTTGTTGTTTGGGGCTAGTGGGGTGGAGGACAGCTGCTCTGGGAGGTTTGTCCCTGAGAAAGGAGACCTGTCACAAGGGACTGGTCACAAGGGTATGTCACAAGCTTCAGGAAAGCAGAGACCCCTCCTGAGGAAAGGAGGGGTTTTCCCTCCAGTGGGCTAGATAATTGCCTCAGTGTTATTGCTTAATTGTAGGCTAACCCTTAGTCAGGCTCCCTGGAGAGGGAGCGTCAGCCTGAGAACTCAGTGGCTTTGTGAGAATGACCACTCTCCCTCCAAGCATCAAGACAGAGACTGGAAATCTGACCATTGACCTAACTGTCATCACCGAGGTCAAGGCATAAATGTTCAGTTGAGGTTTTCAGCTTTTACCTAATATTTCTATTATTTAGACATGGGGGCTTCCTTGTGTCCCACAATGAGTGCTTTGAGCTTAACCGAAATAATCATGAAACGCTCATTCAGAAGGGCCCCTTCTTGTCATACTCACTGGAAACCCTTTCCTAGTCTTTCTTTAGGACAAAAGAGCAACAGCTGACCGTCATGAAAGTCCCAGGCTGATTTAAGCCCAAATAATATCAGAACCCTTTTCCCAGCAGCACAACACCAAGGTGGACTCCAGGTGTTTAGATTAATATTAGCATGAGGAGGTGGAGATTCACCAGCTAGACGCTCAGATTTCATCTCATCTCAGGCAGGATGTTAAGGAACAGACAGGCCTACTACAGCGCAACAGCGGGTTACCGCCAAGGTTCTGTGAAATCAAGCTCAAAGTCACTCACCCAGTTTGCCTCCGCCGGAGCAGGAATTTTAATTCCACCATGTTCCTTTTGCTGTGTCATCTTGGATGTTTATTCATGGAGCTGGCAATTCTAATTCAAGATTTCAGTGCGGG